TTATATTTTTTTTTTTTTTTTTTTTGTGTCTTTTTTTTTTTTCAAGGAAATGGGATCTCATTTCTATACTAGACAATCAAATTCGAGAATTTCATTGTGATAGAAAATGTTTCGAAGTTGATGTATTTATGAATTTAAAAGGACTGGAGAACTTTGTCCAGAAAATTAGGTGGGAGACTCACGGGAAAATGAGAGTTGATAGCCTTTGGTGTTCTTTAGGCTGTATAAACTTGCTATGATGATTGCAATCGCTACAGCAACAGGTTGAACGAGTATTTTCTGCAATGAAGTATTATAAAGAATCGTTTCGCAATCGTATGGGAGACCTTGGATGAATGACGTTTACTTATATTGATAAGGATATTTTAATGGTATGACAATGACTTGATTGTTACACGATTTCAAAAGGGATGGAAGACGCACCCCCCCCCACGGAAGATTATAGATGACAATTACAGAGTTTCAAAGATTAATGTTCTCAATGTTTAAGTTTGTTTGTGCTTTATCATATATTTTATGTCTTATAATGAATCTAATTATTTTTATAAAAATTTTAAAACCGTCACTGTGCCCAAGTCCGGATGAAAAAAAAAAAAAAAAACAAAAAAAAAAAAAAAAAAAAAAAAATAAGTTGCAGGGTGTTTTTTCTTTCAAGGAATTGTGCCCCCACATGAAAAAAATCCTGGCTCTGCCCCTGTATGCTTAAGAGTCAATTCTCACCCCCCCCCCCCCAACTATAAATATTAAAAAGAAACGGTCATTTCTAATATTTTGCTATCAAGTCTTTTTAGGTCTATATCTACCGTCTTAACATAGGTCAAATCTAATACAGTTCTCTCCTAACAGAGCCATTTGGAAGGCCGCCTTTTACAGACTAATGAAAATTAATTGGATTATCTAAATCTACATGTATGATAACAGGGCAATAGACAACATGTTATTAATTCATTATCAATAATTGTTATAAATTTCAATTTGAGCTAACAGCCTTAATATTGAAATGTCAAAGCTAAAATAGTTCATCGGATTTAATTGGAATTTACCCATCATGCCAAACAATTTCAAGAGTTATGCCTCAAAATTACTAAACCCAAATTAGGATTACAAATCTTACTGGTAGCAATACAAACCCCTTAACTCATAAAATTATTGCTAATATAAGAAGCCAAGTACTTCATTTTATTTTTGTAGATTGCTTATTAGCTTGTTTAAATGCTTATTGATCTAATTAGGCAAATTAAGATAAGCTAAGTTGATCATTAAAAGATAAAGTAAGAGAATATATATATATATATATATATATATTGTATTCTCTACTTTTTAAATGTTCACATCCAAGCAAGAGATGTTTCTAGTGAAGAGGAGCGTATCAGCAGGCAAAAAGATTGAGTGCCGCAGCAAAGTAAGGACAGATTGTCTTACGGGTCTCCAGGAAAAGCAAAAGACTGCTTAACAAGTTCTTTGTACAAAAAACATGCCCTAATGGACTGCTTTGATTCCAATGCATTTAACCTTTTACGCCTAAAGAAATTTATCTTCGATCTCCATCTACGAAAACTACAAGTTTAACCAAGAGAAACCCCGCTAACTAACTGCGTAGAAATTAAAGCCAGAGCAAAGACTAATTTAAGCTTTAGCTCCGCTCCAATACCTATAAAGTTAATAAGAACGGCTAATTATCTACCAGAATAATAGCACAAATTATTTTAAGTGCTTCAAATCGAACAAAAGTTTACCAAAACCCATTCAATAAAATCGCATATCCAAAAGAAATCTTATTTGGGCCTTTTAAGGACTAGAAAGTGCCAGCCAAAGTTTAGGCATCAAAACTCAAAGGTTTTCACCAGAATACGGATATTCATATTACAAAGTTCAATCATGAAAATCCCAAAGTTGAATATTCTGAGAACCTGGTTCCCCAAAACAAATTCCAGACCATAAATAACATAACAGCTAAAAAAGTTAAAAGCCACACTCAACTGATCTGAAATGTCCGTCCGGTACGTCCGTTCGCCAATAGACAAGCAAGCGATCCACCGATCCTTAAACTTCATCTTCGCCTGCCATGGAAACGATAAAACTTCGGTTCGGTGTGTGGGTGAGTGTTAACCCTACTGGATATCACGAAAGAGACGCCAGATGTCCTTACGCTAATGATTTCGATGCGGGCGACACCAGCGAAATCCTCTGGTGCGAGGTTCGTTAAAAGAATCGGGTCGGAAACCGACCGGTGGCCTTTAGATCCAAAGCGCCGGCGAAACCGGGAAAGGCGGGACGGCTTCAATGGCGTCTCCTCCAGTTGACCCCTTTGCCTCGAGCTTTCGTTCCCCATTGCCTCTAAACTCCAAGAAGCTAAATCTTAGTTGTAGCCGGACAACCCCGTCGAGAGAAGAAGTTCCGCAGGAGGTAGTGAGTTGAACAACACTGGCCGCAGACTTCGGCTTTGACTAACCACTGCTGACTAACCACTGCCTGAATCACTGTTGTGCGTTTTCCTTCAGCGTTGCTCCTCCTAAATATCACCAATTATTGACCAAACTGCCCCGTTGCTCAGCAGTCAGCATCGACCGACCGACGCGAAGAATAGTGAGAAAAGTTTTGTCCTGTACAGCAGCGAAGATAGAACGAGCCGACGTATCTCGGAAAAAAGGCTAATTACTTTTCAGAGAAATATTAATCTCTCTTTTTATGGGACATTTAGGTCATTTAAGACAAATTCACACATTACGCATACACATAGACTCGAACTCTGAACCTCTTAGTTGGAAGCCTAAACTTTCAACCAATAGGTCAAGGAGAAGTGTGTTATTAATCTCTCTCTCTTTAACATTTTAAATTATTTTTTTTATACATCTAATATTTAAATTTTAATATTTATTTATATAATTCTTAAATTTTTAATTAACATCAAAATTAATATCTTTCTTTTCTTCTATATTACAACCATGCCCCTGAACTCCTTATCATTCACACATGTTGTATCCCTCCACAAACAATCAAAATCTTTTCCTTTTGTACGTCGTCAAACTCATTGCTTTTCGCCAGCAATATCTCGTTGCCCTTACTAGCACTCTCGCCGTCAGTTCTTTGAATCTCATTGCGACCAAGATCTCATTGTGACCCTCTTTTATTTCATCTATAGCGAGATTCTGTTACGGGTGTCAATATCCCAATATTTGGCATCACTTGAAATCCGACCTGGACTAGGCCTTAAAATTTTCAGGTTCAAGTCAACTCGTTTGACATACTAGTCAATTCAGGTAGACAAAGTCTACTTGTTTCAAAAAGTGGGTCAGGTTCGAGTCAACCCGGGAACCCGAAAATGACCCGGTTGACCCATTTAGAAAACCCTATTCTACCTTTTGCATGTTCGCGAGCCGTCTGCGAGTTGCTTCCTACTTCCCCTGTCTATGACTTCCGTAGCTTCTGGCTTCCGCCGTCGCGATTCGGATTGCTTCCGACTTCCGCGACATCCGCCATCCTTCCTCCACCGTCTGTCAGGCTGAGGCACTAGCTTGGGATCTCATTGAGATTCTGTTACGGGTGTCAATATCCCAATATTTGGCATGACTTGAAGTCCGATTTGACACAACTCTCCTTGGCCTATTGGTTGAGAGCTTAGGCTTCCAACTAAGAGGTCCAGGGTTCGAGTCTATGTGTATGCGTTGTGTGTGTGAGTTTGCCTTAAATGGCCTAAATGTCCCAAAAAAAAAAAAGTTCCGATTTGGACTAGGACCTAAAATTTTGGATTTAAGTCAACTCATTTGACATACTAGTCAATTCGGGTAGACAAAGTCGATCTGTTTCAAAAACTGGGTCGGATTCGGATTAACCCGGAAACCCGAAAATGACCCAGTTGACCTGTTTAGAAAACCCTATTCTACCTTTTGCATGTTCGCGAGCCGTCTGCGAGTTGCTTCCGGCTTCCCTTATCTATGACTTCTGTAGCGTCTGGCTTCCGCCGTCACGATTTTGGTTGCTTCCGACTTCCGCGACATCCGCCATCCTTCCTCCGCCGTCTGTCAGGCCGAGGCACCAGCTTGTTTGACGCGGGTTGGGTCGAGTCAACTTATAACCCTCACGGGTAGAGTCTATATTAGATTTCGGGTTAGATTCAATCCGTTTAGACATGGGTCAAGCCGGATTCAACCAGAACCCGACCCACTAACCCATTTTGACACCCCTAGAACCCGTCGTAACCTCTTCGTCGTCAAGGTTTTGTCACAACCGTTTATGAAATTTCATAGTATTACATTATACAATAGAGAAGTTTAGATGTTAAACATGTTAATAACATAACTATGAGTATTATGTATATAAATTCCTATTTTAAAATTATATCAACATTAATAAATTAATAAACAAATATTTTTTAATTAAAAGATAGAAAGCCCTCTCTCATATAAATTGATCCAATTAAAATTCTAATTTAATATTATTGTTTTATATAAATTTAATTGGGAGTATAACAACAATCTACTTTCTAACATTTTAATATTGTTAGTCATTGAGAATCATAATTTTGTATTGTAAAATTTCTATTGAAATTTTTTGAAATTATATATTTGTATAATGTTAAAAATAAATAATAAAAATTTTTGATACTATATTATAGCTCATACATATGTCTTAAATGTACACAAATAAATTTTTCAAATTCTACGCCATATTTTTTTTTATGATTTCCTTACCTTATCATCGCATGAACGGCTATAATAAATAATATCACAAACATACATTAAGAATTAAAATTTTGGCCAAATTTTATAAAGAAGATGATAATAATCAAAATTAGTGAAAAGAGCATGGATTAATGAAATTTTAAATAGGAGCAAATACGCTAAATTAAATGACGCATTCTAAAATGCACCAAATAATTTGGCGCAGTGAGAATACGCCATTTAGTTTGGCATATTATACTCACGCGTAGAGACATGTGAGAGAGGGAGGAGAGAGATGACAGTTGACAGCGGAGAGAGAGGTGGCAGCGGAGAGGGGGGAGAGAGATCACGGCGCATAGAGATAAATTTTAAGATATTTAACTATTATTTTAACAGATTTTTAAATATTTATTTATTCAACTAATTTTTTCTTATTAAAATTTTATTTTTTTATATATTTAATAATATTACATAAATTTTATTATTTAAATATAATTATGCTATCTTATGTTTAAATATAATATAATTATTTGTACTTCAAAATTATTTTGTCATCTAATTAATATGTTAAATATAGATTGAAAGTTATTTTTTAAAAAATATTCATAAGAATTTAAAATTATTTTGATTTTTTTAAAATTATTAAGAAAAAAATAAATTATTAAACCCTAAAAAAAGGCAGCTGACATCATACCTTTTATGTGTAAAACTTAAAAAGGGGAAAAACTAAAATGTTTGGTTTAAATGAAATAATCCACTTTATAGATATATTACAAGAGTCCACTCTTCCCCTTGATACCAATTTATATTTATATTAATGTGAGGGATAATGCTATATATTACATGCTAAGAAGTGTAAATTATGAATCCTTCCAACTTTAATATTTCCCTTATTTAACTTTGACAAAAGGAAAATTTTAATCCCTTCCTTGGAATTGCATTTTTCAAGCAAGTTTAGTAATCAAAATTCCATTGGCATTACAGGAAAGATGCCCATTAACAGTAGCCAAAATCCACCGTTAATCATGGTAATCCACTAGTAAAATATTGTTTCCTGCATATTTCCTGCGAAAATTCGTTCAACAGTAAATCGTGCATCATAAAGTTTATTCTGGCACCTTCCCAATATTCTTCCACCACTATTCTATATTGCAACTTTCTTGTACTTTTTCAAAAAGCGTACAGTTAAGAGACTACCTTCATGAATAGTATTATAAGTATGTGCTTTGTTGCAATTTTATGTATTCAACTTATTTAACATGTCAATATGAACTTTTCTTAGCGTATTTAGTGATACCAAAGTTTCGCCCACCTCTTTTGTAATGGTCATACTAAAACTGAAAATGTGATATTGTAATCAATATAGCCTTTCAAAAATAAGGTTTTGTGGAAGTTAGTATCATTTGTAGATGTTTGAGGCAATTTTTTATATTTTTTCAATATTATTGTAAATAGTCTTTTTTTTTTTTTCTTCTTTTTTTTACTAGTGTCTCTTTTGAATGAAATGTTTAACTATAATGAGATGAAATGGTTGTTACTTCATTCCTATGATCCAATTGTTGCATATGAAAAATTATTTCACTTAACTTATGTGGGTTGTATATTTAATCCCTTTTATAGATGCATATGGTTCACTTAAATAAGACCATGCTAATCTCTAATCACATAATTGAAAGGGGATTAAGGTGGTCTTGTGCCCACAAATCAAGTTCAATTGGTTTGAAGGCTAGGGAATGCATGGACCTAGCAACCTAGAATTAAGCAGGGGCAACATCCAAGCACCCAAGAAATTTTGTTATGTACAATAAGAAACTTAGTAAAATACTTTATCATGAATGCTAGTTCATCTTCTAGTACACAATTTGGATGAGAATTTCTTTTAAAACGCTATAGCATATTGTTTTGAATATGTAGGAAACATATAAGTTTACAAGTAAAAAAATTCCAATGGGATTATATTTTGTGTTTAACCATAAAATAATACATTAAGTGGCAAAGCTTGCCTCTCATTAATTTCAAGACTTAGCACCTTGATGGGATAGTTTGCCTTAATGAGAATGATCACAAGTTCTCAAGTCAACTTAAGAAAAATTGCAGTATTGAATATAACAAACTGAAAATTTTATGGTTATTTAGATATGATAGCTATTGCAAAAAATGTTACAACTTAAGATATGATAGCTATTGCCAAAAATGTCAGAACACGACAAATCAATAACATATAAAAATAGCAAATGATTAAATGTTTACTAATTTAAGTATTGGTCCATGTTAAATGTATGTAAAACTTAAAAGCTATAATGTGCGTACCATGAACTTTTCCATTATTGAAACTGGTTCTGGTGGCCTTAGATCATTTACAACAAAGGACAAGGTACGACAAATGAAGCCATCTAGTGTCTATCTTATTTCTAATGACTGTCCATCACTCATGATAGCCTTCCTTGGATAATCCTTTCCATTAATAAGTATGAAATTTTCATAGGAGCTTTATCATGTTCATATATATATATATATATATATATATATATATGCCAAAGCAGAACAAGTTATCCATCATCCACATCATCACAAATGGTGATAGCTTAAAGAGAGAATATCATGTGGAAATATATAGAACAAACGATTCAAAAATAAAACAACATGGCAATTAATAACATAAATAAAGCGTATATTTAGGTTGAAACCTTCTAGTGGTGTACCATGCAATGAGTCTTCGACCCACACATATTTGTGTCTAAGAGAATCATTTTCTTAGGTCATTTTACTATACCTTGATCAAATTTGAAAATATCTTCATATTA